TTGCATTGCGTGCCCGACCATCCTGTACGTCAAGTGTACGCATACCTTTGTCCGGAATCGCGACCGATTAGCAGCGGAAGTCGAAAAGTAAATGAACGCTAAGATCGGGTTCCAAGAATCCAGTATGCCCCGAGGCAGCGTAGTTGTCTCTAAGCAAAGCAATGGTGCAAATTTGCTTTACCCGAACGACAATCGACAAAGTCCCCATCGCCGCTACCGCCTCCAACTATGACAGAAGGTTAGGCGAAAATAGACAGAGGCTACGAGATTCAGGCGGTACACATGACGACAAAGGTATTACCCGAAACTTGTCATCGGGCAAGTTCCACTGATCCCAACAAGTTCTATTATTAGCAAAAGTGGGGCAGCCTTTTGCATCTGTAACTCTATGGGCTATGGACAAGTTCAAGTCCCGAAGGATGCCACATTTAGGGTCTCCTCTATTACAAAAGCAACTAGCGCGAACAAAGAGACAAACGGTCGACTATCATCACTTGGCAGAAAGCCAGGACTAACGAGCACCCAACATCAACGCACCGACTGTTGTGTGCGCAAATGTCCCAGAATCTGGCGCCATCACATTGCGGCGTAGGTTATCAGACGACCAAGACTAGTGGAACTTCTTGTGCATTTCGATGACTGTGAAAGACAAACGCACAAAGTTAGTACGCGATATTCGGCACCCAATCTCTGCAAACCATGGGGAACTCTGAGTTATTCAGGTGACATCGGAAACCGCCGTTGATGTAGAAAATGTTTTACACTGCAAGTGCGCTACAACACGGATCCTGCGGGATAATGAGCTAGTCTGACTTCCATTGGAGCACAAGACCATCGAAGAGAAACACAGCAAGCTGGACTGTCCAAGCACAAGCTTTATTTATGGCGTGCCAGAGCTTGCTTCCCACGACAGTCAAGTGATCGGGTGTTACAATTTGGTACAGTGGCGGTTCATACCAGGAATATCTTTTTGGATAACATCGTCGCTCGATCGCTCACCAAACTATAGAGGATGTCGTTTAAGAATCCTAAAACTCGTGGTTCAGTCAAAGCAAAAGGTACCCGGTTAGAATATTGGCGCAAAACCCTTCCATCTGAACTTCGGTTAAAAGCTATAGAAGCCTTGCCAAGGCCACAGCTTATCTGAGAAAGCAAACCTATCAGCGATAACACAGGAGCTTCACAAGACCAGTCGTTCAGATGACTCAGAATTTAGTCCGGAAGAGGAATGGAGCGTACCTTGGCCAAAGCAAGCTGTGACGTGTCATTATCGCATCAAAAAACTAATAACGACCGACCGTATATCAGTTGGCATTCCCTCACAACTCCTTTAACGACCTGTGGGCCCCATAGAGACAGAGAAACAATCCTGCCTTTATATCAATGCTCAAAGTGTTTTCAATAATCTAGCCGAACAGAGGGATCGCTAGGTTTCTAAGCCATGCAATAGCATCGGTGTCACTGCGACATGGTTATAAACTGGAATGAGGGACGCTGCCAGGCATGTCACTCATCCGAAACGACAGCCATACAAAAGGAGAAGTTATTCCGTATCACCAAAGGGGGCAAGAGTGCGAGGGTTTGGGGGATTCAGAGTCGCTGTTCCCAGATTCTCTTTGGTGCCGCCTACCTTGTAGCTTTGGTGCATCACCACCAAACTCTACACCCTAAATGAACTGCCACCTTGCGAAAGCATTAAGACGGAATTTAAAGGGAAAACACGCACAGCCTTATCATGGGGGATTTCAGTGCATACTGTTTAGAAACGCCTGTAACAAGCAAAGAACACTCCAAAGCCAACCTGACAGAACTCGTGACCAGTGTTCCAATTTACAATCATGTCAATTTGTCCACACGTTTCAGAACAAGTGACAGACCACATGTTCTGGATCTTGGGTTCACCAAAGAGGAACATATGGTTGTAGACTGCCCTTCGGGTCGCGGTGGCCATCGATTTCAAATTTATCTGCGCTGTGGAATATCCTCATGAGAACCCCGAAATGGTGTGAACCAGTACACACTACGACAGCTTAACCCAGATTGCCAGTGCCACAACTTAGTTTCACCACACCCAAAAACCACCCGACAGTCGCTGGATCGAATTCGTCAGTAAATTCAAGCAACCAGTTACGAATGCTTCAAAAACACGTGTTTGTGATGGGGTAGAATTAAAAATGGATGGCAGTACGCAAGAGATTATACTTAACGTCAGAAACGTGGGACAGCGACGTAGCCCAACGTAGCCAGTAAACTCAATTGTTCAGAGAAGATAAAGCCGCATATCGGCAGGTGATGAAAATTTGCGGCGTTAAGCACAAAAGGTGAGGCGGAAAATCCCGCCACTCCGGAAGTCTGATGGTCTAACAAGGATAGCCATAGAAGCAACAAACGCGCTTTGGGTGCAATATAGCCCAACATTTCAGAGGGTCATGTCATAGATCGATCGTCCAGCTTTTGTCGCCCCACTGAGAGAAATCACCCGTCACTTTTACCGCTGAAGCTGACGTCCCTGGACAATCACAGCTCTCCGGGTGTAGATACTATTCGCCCGGAGGCGTTGAGAGCAGTAGCAAGACTACTGGCAGAACCTTTGGCTCAGTACTTCCAGTGTTGCGTGGACCAAAACCAAGTTCCTGTCATGTGGAAGCTTAGAAATAATAACTCCCCTTCCACAAAGTCGGAAGCAGAACTGAGCCATCAGAGTATCTCTTCTCCCTATACTGTCCAAAGTCACGGAATCCATCACTGCAGACACGATGGTATTCTATTACTTCCCGGTAGCACAGCTTCCGTGGACAGCGATGGCATAAAGAGTAGTTGGAAGGAATCAACTGACGCTGAAGAGGACGTTGATTTGGTCTACACTGACTTTCGAAGGCATTCGGTCGTTTAGATTCTCGGATACTCCTTTACAAACTTCACTATTACGAGATCGGTTAGCTACTTCTAAGCTGGATCGCCAATTTTCTCCTTCAATGGCAACTAGTGGTCAGAGTTCGGAGCACCTTATTTGACTTCATACAAGTCAATTGTGGTGTGCCGCAAGGCTCGATTCCAGGTCCAGGATTGTTTGCGGTTTTTATTAATGACTGCCTACAGTTTGCCGAAGACACCAAGGTTTGGCGCGGGATTCAGGTGAATGCCGACCAGCATCTGCTCCAGAATAACCTTGACACAGTACATCGGTGGTCAGACAAAGTTTTACTGCATTTCGACGTGAGTAAACGCAAGGTAATCTCCAGACAGCATTAGATGAACTATTCATACAGGCTCGGAACACATGTACTGTCGAACGTATTCCGACTGTGCTATTTCAGGATGACTTAGGTAATCCGAAAAGGCCTCGAAAGACTGCCCCATGAAGCAAGCTGACAACCCGCTACATTGGTATCCTCGATGAATAGGCAAGCGTACCTACAGCTGTAGGACAGCCACCACGTTGATTCTGTCCGGTCACGCCCAATCGAATTACAAGAGATGGGTCAAAAATTGACTGCTACTGATGCACAAATGGGTGGAGAATTAACCAAATGCGCGAAGAATATTCTTTGCAATAATTCTCATCAGGCGGTCCGAATCGTTTGTCTCATAGTAGTTCCGTATTACAACCCTTGGTCGACACCGGACATCAAATCCAGATGAACCAGTCGTTTCGAGTCCTTTATACTATCCCTAAACGCTACCCAAAACAGCTTAGGAAACATTTGTTGAGCATTTCTGAAGCCATTGCTATCAAGGTTCTAAAACCAGAGCTGTGTGAACAGCGCACACTGCTACAGGCTCTGAAATTGCCTTGGCCTTGACCTGCCTTGATAACCTGCTTCCTAATGCGACAATCTGATTGATCAACTCATTGAGTTAGTTTTCCTATTGCCCAGTTAATGAGTTGATTGCTCTCTGTATAGGTCTCTACGGGCTTTATTCTCTCCAAAATTTTTGCTTCATAATTGTACACGCATTCGCTTACTTCTGACTCAAATGGGGATTATATATAAAAATGGGGAATTGGCTGTTTAAAACAATGAAGCGAAAACGACTGCGTAGCAACCTCAAATAGGACATTCAAAACGCAAACCTAAGCCAGCTGATCTGTAGCCACCCGGAGTCCACATTCTTTACCAGGGAAGAGGGTGTCACGCATGGACTTAAATATTGATCACGTGATTGGCTGGTATACATCCTGCCTCACCTTCCCTACTTCATGGATCCTTCGTTTCGGCGTCTCTAGCCACTGTAACCTACGAAGCATTAACAAAAGACGACTGCACACTACGCCTGCGCGTTCACCTTTCGTTCATCGGTCTACCGACCATGCTTAAAACCGGCAATCCGAAAAGGCTCCGAAGACTGGACACCAGCTCGTCGGGCTGCTGCGACGGGCGTTTGGACAAATAAACTACTTTATTTTGCTACAGATGCTCAGTGCGTATATTCACCCCCCCATTGTCGAATACGCAGTTAAAGTCTCGTACCCATGGCTGAAGCACGAGATCACTGCATTGGATCAGTCTCAACGTCGGACTTTGTATACACCACTGGAATACGCAATCTACTATTTGAACAAAGACCGAAACATTTGGGAGTAGATTGCAGTTGGTAACTCTGATCACAATGCGACCTGATAATAGCATAGTTGGTTTTACACAACCCAAATTAAGTGTGCCGCGCATAATTGCAACTTAGCAGTGACACCAAATTTAGAGGACACTCCTTGAAATTGACAGTACAGCACAGCCGCTTGGAGTGCCGTAGAAATTTCTTTTCCATTCACGTGTCGCACTCGTGGAACGCTATCCCTCAGTCGGTCGTTTATACACTTACACTAGACATTTTTAAAAGTCGGTAGGAAGATGTACTCAGCTGCTTACATTGTGTCACTTAAGACTATGACTCCGTCCTACTCCTGGGAAGTACCTTGGGTTTATTACTTGCCGCATATTGGATCTGTGAAACTACACGGTGTGCGGAGCTGTTGTATTAAAAGCGATAAGTCCATTCTTCTGACAGCAAAAGTACCAACTGCATTTCTTCATTACCATTTTACGGCAAAGCCGTGCTTTTTAATCCGTACAAAGTCATTATACACTAGAACAAATGGGAACACGCACACTGTTAAAAACGCCAGATGTGACAGTTGACGTTCCCTCGTACAAAGCGTTCTAAGGCCTATGAATATGTGACGAAAGAGGGGTCAAATACATTTACGTTAGAATGTATATGCAGAAAGATGAGGCGACCCAGTACCGGTGGCGAACAACAGAACAAGCATCAAAATCCATAGTCTGTACTGTGCATTACATACGAGAAGAACCGTTTCACCGTAGCACACAAAATCAAGAGAAACACGTGCAGTCAACAGATTGTTTTCACATTGGTTATGAGAGTCATAGAGAAGGCGGTCCAGATGAAACGATAAAAAGAAAAGAGGATGTAGTTTGAATCATCAGAGTTAGCAACCACATTCAGTGATAGGTAATAAGGATGTCAAGTACAGGCTGCGGCATGTCCGATCTAAACGTTGCGACCAGCTTGAAATCCGCTGGAAGAAAATCGAACGACAGTGGTGAAGCGGATATGTAAAACACAATACGGACGATATCAGTTGAAAGAGCTGAATGGGAAAACACCTGCAGTCGAGCAGAGAATCCGGAATGTCATCCATCAGGTGATTAACTTTAGAGTGTTCTAGCACTGGATCAGAGACCCACGCAGTGTCCGTCCACATACAATCGTCAGCTGTCGCACAACCGCGATGCAAAACACTAATGGACTGCTGGTGTTGGAATGAAACGAGGAATTTTGCTATAGCGTAGGCGATAGTGAATCGGTTCACCGTCAAGAAAAAAGAACTAAACAGGTTTATCCAAGTAAAGGGGACTAGGTGAATCACAGCCAACATGGGAAGATACTGAGGCTGCAACAATTTGACGTGACGGCGATCGTAAGAAGAAATTGTAACTGGCAACTGTGATGGATACCTTAAAAACTCAACTAGCATTATGGAGAATATCTGAGAAGCAGACCTTGATAGTCGCACTGACGATGTTGTCTAGCTTGGCAACGAAACGTCTGCAACACAATTACCCAGCTTAGAGAACACAAAACAGTCTCTCACACAGCTAGCAAGTTGAAAAGGTGATCAAGTAGGGTGAATAGAAACACAATATTAGAATGAGGATCCTGAAAACCAACAAAGCATGATCTAACAAAACTGGACAAATGAAGAATGGATGGGGTGTAAAATGCGCGTACTTCTGATGAGTAGTAACCATCTCGTCAAGTGACTGGATAGATAAGTGTCTAAAGTTGGATGTACGATAGTCAAACAAGACGGATTAAGTTCCGAAGTGCTGTGTTTCGTTACCAAGATCCTGGCTTCAAAGAACGACCCGATGAGAAGTCGTTCAAGCTAAGTAAGGACGACGCTACTTGATTTCCAAGCGCCGGTATGATGACATGATTAGTAGTCGCATCACGGCACCTAATAAATAAAATGGCTTCAAGATGGGCATTTTTGACTAGTTAACCCAGTCCATACTATCAGCATTGTGACAGGTTGCATACGGAAGGAGCAGTATCAGCGTGGGTTACATATTGCCCAAAACTTGTGGGACCATTTTTCTTTTCAAGTAATGTGACCAGTAGTTTGTTGTTTCGCAGTACAAATGCTTTAAGTTTCCTAGCATCTAAGTACAAGTACAATTGCTGCAGAATTGTGTCATTCCGCAACCGGAAGACGCAGCGTTATTGTGTACCGTTTGGTGGTAACAAGATGGCGCACCTGCACACTATGCACAAAAAATTCGTGATTATCTTAGACGTTCTCTTGTTGATGGACTGGTCGGGGAGGACCAGTGGAGTGGCCTGCTCGATCACCAAAGTTGAACGCGTTGGATTCCTTCCTATGGGGTTGGTTAAAACGATGAGTTCACAAAACTAAGTCCAATACATTTGAGGAACTGAAACGGAGCATTTTGAACGAATGTCGCGGGATCACAGTGGAGACTTTGGAAAACGTGCTAGCCAACACCATCAGGCGAATGTTGCACTGTATGCAAAACGTCGGCGGACAATTGGAATATCTAGTGCGTTGAGATTTATGACCATTAAATGATTTTACGTAAAGACATGTATCATCCAATGATTTAACGACCAAATTGGTGCGCTGGCAACTGGTGCCGTTAGTGTGGCGAGGCGGATTGAATGGTAAGTGTTGCCTATGGAGAATAAGACGGTAACGTGAGAAAGTGATACTCGACCATGTCACATTCATTGCACATAAGTTGGTCTGTCTACGTCAGGGATGTCCAAAGTCCGGCTGGCGGGTTAAATGCGACCCGCGTTAACATTTCAACTGACCCGCGGCCTCATTCCGAAATAATAAATTCCGGCTTAGATTTTCTTTGTACATGTGAATTTTTGTTATTATCTTATTGCCCAACTGAATATGGCCCGAGATACATTTCCCTCACAAAATGCGGCCCTCCCTGCAAAAAGTTTGAACACACCTGATCTACGTTAACGGGAGCTGTGCCCTCAGCAGGCATTGCTAATTCAGCTTAGCGCTTGCGTTTTCCTGTCTACCCGTAGCGAGCAATAGGCAGAGTGCGCGCCGTCTAGCCTATGCCGTGCAAATTAGGCCAACCGCGCATGCACACGGTGCTAATTCGGCCACAGCTCATTCGCTGTGCAATACGAGCTGCCACAATGTCTCAGTGCAGGACTATTGTACCCGTCGCCAGGATGCTGAACGATAGCAAGACAAGGAAACGGTTGACGAACCAATACTATCGATCGCTTCAGTTGGTAGTTTGCTTGTCCGTCCGCATTCACAGCCGGATAAGATTCTCCCGTGCTTTTGAGTATGTGATCGACTGCGCCTATGCCCTACACTGGTCGTCAGGCAGTGCAGTTTGGGGTTCAGTCGGCACTTCACATGCGACCACACCTAAGGGAAGAGTGACAGAGTGACAAGTGTGACGCGAGCGCACATGCAATCGTATATACGCGAGCAACAAAAACGCAAGTTGTTGATTGGACGCTTTGAGTTTAGAGAGAACACGTCCGGTTTTCTTCAGGCGTGCATTGGTGCAGCATGTAAAGTGCTGCTAGACGTGTTTTCTCGGACTAAAGGTAGTTTGGCGCAATCACTTTTCAGTCAGACAGGCTCACACACGTCGGAAAAAGCCTTGGTGCCGCTTTTGACATTTTGATTGACAGGTCAATCTTTCCCATTATATATTCATGCAAGTGGTTCTGCTTGTATTATGTATAGGTCTGGAAAAGCACCAGACAGCTGTTCGATTTTGTGGGTCTGCGACCCCTGCTAGATTGTGAGCACATGACTTGCGGATGTTAGCAGTTTGCGTCACTAAGTTATGGGTGACGGCGGCGGATCTGAATGACTGACTGAGTGATATAGCGCGACTCAACCTCTACTGACTTGTCAGTTACGAACTATGCATGGGACAGTGGTTGGTCCCATAGTTACGACTTTCCGCACAGCGACTGTGTACGACATGGCTTTTGGAAGATATAAGAAGGGATTTTTGACCACGAATGACTAGTGGTATAGTTGCAGATGTAGTTTGTCACAGCCACCTCTCAGTCAGGCAGACTCCCACACGTTTGAAAAGGTACCAAACAGCTGTTTCGACCGTCAAAAATGGCGAAGCTCCAAGGTAACCAGCCGGGCTGGTGGATGCAGTTAAGTCTTTAATACATCAATAATGGAAACGTGACCCGCCAATCTGGAAATATATGCATTTATTCATTTAGTAGGTGATGAATTACGACAAAAGTTTTCTGAGGAAAAAAATGGTATTTCCTTCATTCGGCTACATGTTTAAAAAGAAGATCAGGTGAATGATGATCAGAAAACTGAAATAGCCACTTTGTTTATCTGACATTTAATATGACTTAGTTAAAGTGGACGAATGCAACGATGAAGCTTGAAAACCAACCGAGACAACTTACTCGAAAGCGCGCTGAGCAGGAGGACGGTACGGACGCCTAGAAAGAGAAACAGCACATCTGTAGATAGATCGAGTGAATAGAGGTGAAGTTTGCTTTTCGTTGTATGACAGCAGATTCTCTGAGTTCACAGTAGTTAATCTGTCCTACACAAGCCGACCGGCAGCTTGAATGAGTGATGGTTGATGATACTGAGTCTAATTGGTATGCTCAGCAAAAGAGACATAAGAAGTATATAAGGCTAAGTGGAGCAGGTATTTATAGTTTTTCAGTGCGGAGACTGCACAATCGGTCGTTTCAGTGGTTGGACACTTGGTCAGACATGGAAAAATTACGAAGTCAGTGGTATTCTTACATTCATTTCCCTATTGCAAACGCTTAACAACTATATGTCCAGCTTAGTTCAGCTGAACAATTAGGATGCGGGAACTCAGGTGCGGTGGATATACTTGTCGCGACTCACGTCGCCAGAATCACAGTAAAAGACAACGGTAAGAAATAAAGTTGGACGCATATAGATTACAAAAAATGGAATCAACAAAGTAGTGCGTTCGACTAGTTAGGGTGAATTAAAAATTAACAGCTAGATGTAAGAAACCGAGTGTAGGAAAGCTACTGACTGCGGCATTTCCAACAGAGTCCCCAACTACTGGTGTGGACTCTCTAGGAAGACGCAACGCGCCAGCCTCACCAAGCCTATGCTCTGTGTCATAACTATTATATGAAACGCCGTTATTTCACATACAGTCCAAATGTCTGCCGTTATACTCTACGCAAGTATTCGCACGCCTGCTTCGGAGCTCAGTGACAAGCTTCACTAGTTGGGACCTGATGAAGAGAAGAATGTTTTGCGGAAATTTTGGAAGCGGAGTTCTACACAAAAATAGACACCTGTTGCGATTGATGTTGGTTTCAATCTCACTCGCGACAAATGCAATCCGTTCACGGTCATTCACGAAGTACAAGATGATACACTCAAATATGTACACTTATTTGATTGTTGTATGCTGTTTGACTGCTCAATGAAGTGAAGCCTTGCGAGAGTACATTGTTTAAGTGTTAATACTGATATTGTTCGCTGAAGTGTTTTCGCGGCTACATGTAACTCACTTGTTGCTGGCTGCATGTCGCGATGTCGATAAATATATCGTCATTATATTAGTATGATTAATTGAGGATATAAACGTGGTGAATATCTGGAACAACCTACCGCAGCCGGTAATAGGGGCGAATGCAGTGGCCGAATTTAAGAAGCTTCTAGACAAACACTTTGCAGAGGCAAAATATAAAGAGCGGAACGATAATTAATACGATAATGTCCAAGAGCGACAATTGATGCAGCTACACTGAGTATGCTCTACTCGCTGCTTCTAATCAGTATCAGTATCATAATCTTTGGGATCTCAAAACAGTAGTTAGGATGCACCGACTGAGGCAAAGTACGAAGCGAACGCCTTCATTCCTTTTGACCAAGTCAAAATGATTGCCTCCCCTTCTCCAGACCCCGATTGCGCACACAACGCACGTTGCGGTAGTTGGTGCACTAGCATGGATCTGCGCACGCGGTCAATGGTACACTTACTACATCGTAGAGATACGCCGTTACGACTGGTGTGAAAGCCTTCTGGCACTTGTGGCTTTTGCGGTGATCAATGGGATTGATCGTCTTTATCATCCAAGCCGAATTGTGCCTAGCACAATGTTCCACTGCGTTACATCCCATTGCTCAGATGAGGTGGTTTCACGTTCGCTGATGAGACCATGTGTGGCCAATAACAAAAGTTTGGCAAGAAACTGAATAGGTTCAAACTAGCCCTACGGCGAATCTTTCGCTGGGCTTTCACAGTGGTAGCTGCGCCTTTTGCTATCAAAGGCACTGAATTCCTTTAACATCTTGATATTGTCGTTGATATGAAAAAGCAAAAGTCAACAGACTCTCGGGTAAATCTCAGCGTTGTTGGGACTAGCGTCAACGTGGCCGCGATCACTCCCATTCATGTCCTTCTTCAAGCTTTGCCGTTAGTATAGACGTTTGTAACTAGCATCCTAAATGCGTTTGTATCCAGAAACACTTACTTCTAATGACACCAAATGTTATGCACTACATCGACACTAAGTGGTCACTCGCATCGGCGTGATCTCGTAGAATGGCCTCAGGCAAACTTAAAGCGGAATTCCAGCGAATGCTCAAACTTGGGCTAATCCGCCCATCAAAGTAAATGGGATCGTCACTGTACAGGGTACCGAAGAAATCCTGCGACTGGTCTCTCTTTGGTGCCTAGAGGGCATTTAACAAACAAATGGACTTAAAGGTGTTTAGGAGCATATGGACGACACTCATCATCAGGTCCTGACACGAAAACCTCAGTCATATTGAAGCTGATTTGCAACGACTGACATTGTGAACCTGGCCAAAGCACCATGGACTTCCTCGGTCACAAGATACCCTTGGCTGGTGTTGGAGCTCCACCATACAAAATCCGAGCACAGGACTGTACTGGTCCTAGCATCTTCAATCGTCGTCGTCGTCGTCATCATCAATACAGGTTAGCTGATGGTGAAAAACACACCTAGGCCAATGTGCCGCAATACAGAAAAAGAGAAGACACTAAAAATAACAGCCTCAAAAATAAGTACAAAAAGATTAAATATCATAAAATGCGCTTTGGGACGAGATCGTGATTAGAGGGGGAATCTAAAGAGGAGGGGGATGGATAAAAAAATTACAACACAAACGTCATTGAGACCGGCTGCAAGCTATGTCAAAAGCTGTATCTTTAGTGTATTCGGTGGACACCAACTTCGAACGGAACGTTCTCATTCCTCTCGACCAAGTCATCGTTAGGACACCCGTCTTCCTCTTCCATCCACACTCCGAGCGCGAAAACAACACGCGTCGCGGAAGTCACTGTGCAAGTATGCGCAACATGTAGCTCAGCCACTGGAGCCTAGTGCGTGATATAATGGTGCTGAACGGTTCATTCGGTCTTTCTGCAGCAAATACACGAAGTCGAATGCATTCGTTGCTCACGCAATGTTCCCACCAAACATGAGTTAAGCTGTGGAGGAAGCGATGGTTGAAGGTAGCTAGCCTGTTCGTGTCTGCCGACCTGATGTACCAGGTTGGAGAACCGCAAATGATGGCTGAACGGAGGGCTGCATCAGAAATTCTACCCTTCAGGGCAAGAGTGATGTCGCGTCGGCGACGCAGGTGGCGGAGATAGGCAAAAGCATTTCAAGCCTTTGCTATACGGTTCATAACCTCATCTTCGATCCCATGGGCACTAATATAGCCACCCAGGTACTTGAATTCCTGAAGGACTTAGCTGATCATCTTCTTTAAATAGTCCCGCCGACTCTCTGGCCTGAGCAAGTACTACCGACGTTTCATAACTAAGTGCGCGAGAATTATGTAACCATTGACTGACTTGCACCGTGGTAAACAACGCTCAAATGGCCTTCAAGAAGCTAGCTCTACCATAAGGCCTCTCGATTACTCAGACCAAACTAATAGATAAATAATGTAATACATATAAGCAGTACGTCGGTACTGCGTACCGACGCTTCGATGCTGCGCAATGACCACCAGTCGCATGCGAGCTCAGGATAGTGCGAGAGTAGCCTGGTCCCCTACGCAGGTTCGAGTCCGCGCCATCGGATTACAGTACATACTGTCTTCAGTGCAGTTCTTCAACATCTCATCGAACAGACGATGTATATAACTATAGGTTTCTTTATGAAATGTTTACAGCCTGCCGAATTGCGTTAGAGCATTGTCGGCAGGGAATCGCCTGCAAGCTAACTAGGTATCCGACATTTTCGCCACTAGCCCGAAGACCAACGTTATACAGTCCTCAATGACCACAAACCATTGACCTATTTGATCAATGGAGTGACACAAATATCCTCCGCGAGAACCAGAATACCTAGAATACGTCTCTCAAGTTACGACAGACGTGCGACGTCTCAGGTGCTTTTAATCTCACCATGGATGCTTTGTTACGAATCAACCGGATCAGCTTAGCACATCGATCCAGCCGCCATCGCTGCAGCCTAGCAAGCTGAACCCAACATAGACAAGCATCGACGCTACACCTCGTCGAAACCACGCAACGTTCAACAAATTTCATCTAAGGGAACTATTCTTTGTGACATCCCACTTTCCAGTATCCGAACAGTAGTTCCTCCGTCAATGTGCCGACTCGTTTTTAAACCCTACACAGTTTTTCTCATCCCGGCTTCAAAGAAGCTCATAACTTAAAGCTTCGCTTGGACCAACTTCAACCGTGAGGTTAGTAGATAGGTTCGGGAATGCTTAGAATATCAGGGCACCAAAGTGAACAAACACCAAGAGCCCACAGCGCCTTTTCTCATCCTGACTCTCGTTTTGAACACGTCAACGTCGTCTTAGTCGGACATCTGCTACCACGCAATGGCTACGTGTACCTTCTCATTGACAAGAAACAATTCCGATAGCCGACTGCTCATCTAAGACAGTTGCATACGCTTTCCCAAAACGCTGGGTAGCTCAACTTGGTCGCACTGCTGTACTCAGTACTGACCGAGGATCACAAATTGACAGATACTTCCGCAAACTGCTCATCGTACTAAGTTGCCAACAAAACCGAACCACCGCATACCACTTTGCTGCCTTGCCGAATTACTACCTCCTCGTGGTGCCATATACATAGTTCGGATTTCTCGCGTTGTAGCCCATGATTCGCAGGCAGCTTTCCAGGACATGGCGAGTTTTCAGCTGACCCAGTAAAATGTCACATATATTAGTTCCGCAACACTGTGACATGGCGTAGGTGACTAGATATTTGATAAAATCACGGTCCCTTGCTTCACTCCTGTGGAGCATTGTATTCCAGTAACGCGATGTTGAAATTGTGGGCAGAAATGGGGCCCTGTTTGGCAAAAGACCACGAAAAAACCTACAAACTGAGCAACAAGTCACCGGCTCCCAATGGGCGCGATTCTCTAAATTCGCTTCGCTGATTTGTGGGTGGGGTATTCAGCCAAACGCTCGAGGCGGCCTCTCCTAAATCAACATCCTATTTCAAAATAAGCAACCGGGTAGTACCACGCTCTCTGATGAAATCATGGATATATATATATATATATATATATATATATATATGCGATGGTAGAAAGGTTCCATCGGCAACGCAAAGTAACACACTGTGCCCAACAGAACGAATCCCAAAAGAAACAATATAAATCCAATCCACTGCTCGTAGTACAAGTGGCATAGTGCCACAACGAATGGGAAATAAATAAATAACAATAAACAACCAGTAACATCTTTTTTAAACAAAGAAATGCGATGCATCCTATTGTTTCCTAGAAAGGGATGCCAGAAAAAACTCGTCAAGAGAAGTATAATGAACTGAAAATGCCACCTGGATTTTGTAATTTTCGCAGCAATTACGAAATAGACGCTGGTCAAGAGAACAAAATCGGGTGAAACGGACGGTTAAATGGTACCCAAGACAACAGAAAGTCCAGATACAAACATACAACACTCCTGTGTCAAGGGCGAAACGTTATCACAGTATAAGCCTAAAGAAAACCGATTTATAAGCTAAAACTTTCAAAGGCGTCCGATTCGCTGGATCGAGGTGCCTTTTGGGACTGCCTTCTAAGGAAAGATGTGCCCGAGAAGTAGGTAAGTACTATGCAAGCGTTTTGCGCGCGTAACTCGGGCAGAGTGAGGACTTACGGCAAGCTGTCGCTGCCCTTCATTATCACCAGCGGTGTAAGACTACGATGCCCGCAGTCACCTTTCCTCATCAACTTCGCTATTGACGAAGCCATGGAAATCGCGTTCACAGGACACGAACTAAAAGGTGTGGAGCTGGTCCCAGGTGAACGACTTTTGACTTGGATTATGCTGACAATATTGCCCTAATCTGTGACAGCTCACAAACGTGCCAAGCAACACTGGACAGATTAGCATTGGCTGTCACCCGTTTCGGATTATGCTTTGCACTTTTGGTGGGGATCAGCTAGAAGTCGTTCAAAAGTTTAACCGCCTAGGTAGTTGTATCAGTGCCGTGGAATTTAAGAGGTCATAAACCATGTAGCTCGAAGTGCTTTTGCTAACCTTCACCATTTATGGCGCCGGCGCGACTTCACTCTCGCCCTGAAGGGTAGAGTGTACAATGCGATCCCACCGTACGGCTGTAAAACCTGATCCCTTAGATCAGCGGACATAAAGAGGATAGTTGGGTTCGACCATCGGTTTCTTCGCAGTTTGGATCACATCTGGTGGTAACACCGAGTGAGCAACGAGCGTGTTCGATGCTGGTTAACAGCACAGGAAGAAGAAGCGAACGGCTCAGCACCGTTATTTCACGCACCAGTCTCCGATGCTTGGGTCACGAGTTCAGCATACCAGCCCAACGACTTCCGCGACGTGCGTTATTTGCGTGCCGGGGGTGCGGATGGATGAAGAGCAGAGGTGGCCAAGCGATGAGTTGGTCCGGAGAAATGAAAACCCTCACTTCGAAGTTGGCCTCAGTTGGAGCCTGTCGGCTCCCTGGTTGGGGACCGAAGGACGATGAACACGTTTGGTTGGATACACTTGTTGACATGGCTAGGAGCAGACCTCAATGGCGTTTGTGTTGTGAGTTCCTTTGTCCCTCCTCCCCTCCAACCACGATCTCGAGTAATAGGCATTATATGACTTTTTGCAGCACAATAACCGGCTGTTAGCTCTCTGGAACGATGTCCATCCGTTACTGGTGACTCAGCTGGCGTGCCACTGTTTCACTTTTTCTTTTCTTTTGTATTGCGGCACCATAGCTGGGGTGTTTTCCACCTGCAGCTAGCGTGTATAATGATGATGAAGATGATTCTAAAACTTTGGAAATTATGAAATCCCAGCAGCCGCCCTCGTTCAGTAAAAAGGACCTCAAGAAGCTTGAGAAAGTGAGGCATTCTACTGTGCTCGAGGACCGTGTATGATGTGTCAGGGTTCATGTATTGATCGGTGTTCATTAAATGCTCCGTAACTGCTGAACTAGCCCTACTTCGCTGTCCGTTTGATTCCATCTGTCTATGTCAAAATTTTGAACAATGTTCAAAAAATCAGACACAAAAGCTTCGATCATCGCCTAGCCCCAAAAGCGCTCCCTTCCAAACAGAACTGAATTTGTCTAGACAGTGAGACATGCATTGGTCAGACATCGGTGTCATCAATGATCACAGGCAGGAAATCGTTGGAACAAGTTATCATAGTATTGCGAGGACACTTGCAGAACATGAGGGAAGTCAGCCAGTGTTTTGTTCAAATACCTGACCACAAGGCGGCAGGAGTTCGCTAGTGGAATACCGATAGTTCACTTTAGGAAATAAGGAGTCAACTTCACTCCAAAAGCGAATCTGGAGGAGTGAGGATGGGGAAAACATGGGAAAACAAGCGGACCGGCCGTGGCGCAGACGAACAGAGGGAAAGAGGCGAAAAAACCTACCCTCGTCCTGACGGCCGAAATCCTGGGCCTTGATCGAGACCTGCAAAAGATGCGGAAATAAGGACCTGTTATCACGGATGCGACACAAATGGCATACGGATGGTGTCAGTAACACTGGAAGTCGGGTCAGGCTATAAGATGAGCGCAGTGATGCTGTAGCAGAGGCAAGAAAACGACGGAAATGGTAATCGAAGGCATCGAAGTATGTTATCAAATACAACTAAGCTGTAAACGAGCTGATAGGAAGTACAGTAGATAAACCTCATTTGAGAAATAAAGTTGGTCTGTGTGAGGAAGCTGCCGATACGGGTTGTGGGAAATATTGGGCCCCTGTTTGGCAACCGACCAAAAGAAAGACGTATGAACTGAGTGATCAGTCACCGACTCCCAATGGGCGCGATCTTCTGCATTCGCTCGGCTGCCTTGCGGGTGAGGTATTTAGTCAAAGGCTCGGATCAGCGTCGTCTAAGTCAACACCTTAACTCGGCTAGGGCAACCGGGTAGTATCGTGTCCTTTGAAGAAACCGTGGATTTCTATGTGCTTTGTTCTGTTTTCTATTTACAACAACCGTAACGTCCTTTAATTTGCACGGCAATTTAGGGTTGATCATGTCGGCCGGTGGCCGAGTGGTCTGAACGCCTGACTTGCAATCAAAAGGTCACCGATTCTAATGCGTGCAAGGGCCCGCGTCCTCGCGGTATATTCAGCCCACACGTGACTGGTGGTGGTCGCGTGGCAACGAAGCGAAGTTACGGCGTACAGCTGACGAAGATTTTCTGATCGTCATGGTTTCTGATGTCTCAGTTTCGATTCGCAGACATATATATATATATATATATATATATATATATATATATGGTTGGCGGCATCCGGTTTCGGATTTGCCTGTCACTGTGGCAAGCCACAGGACGCCTGCGCCTACAGAGGGACTGTGGATGGCTTGCGCTGCACCACCCACAGCTCCAACCACACACCCCATATCCAGTGTAAACCCGAAGGAATAAGACCGGGAGGCATGCGGATGGGAAGCACGTTTCATCAACGGAGACGGCCCACACTCCTTCACAGGCAAACACAAGCACACTGTATTTGGGAGTCAAGCGCACACAAGGCGGTGGCTAGACCGTAGTCCGCTCCACACTGAGTGCATGGAACCACTCTTTGATCCTAACACGGCCACAAGGACCGTGCACCCCGTCCCCTCCAGCAACGACCAACTGTCTCCTGGAGCCAGTATGGACGAGGTAGTGGGTAATAGACAGGTAGGCACCTTGTCAACATGCACATCGAGCGCAGCCACACCAGGGATATCAAACAACAGCCAATCACTTGAGAGAGGGAGAGAGAGACAAAGAAAATAGCTCGATTAATGCATAAGGAAACGGTGACATAAACCTTACGTTAATGAGCATATGAAATAAGTTGTGTACAAACGAATCCTAGATAAGTTCACGAGGTCAGAAAGTATACTTTATGGAAATGCCACGAACACAAAAATGTTATGGAAATCGAATACAATTGGCTTAAGCGAGGTGTGCAAGTTAATGGAATAGAGTACAGGTAGACATTTATATGAGAAAGAAAAGCATTGAGGCAAAATTGAAAACCCACCACCTGAAATAAAGAGACAGCATGCAAGCACGCGGTTAGTAAATCGAATGCAGCGTACCTACAAACGCTGCGCCGGTTCTGCCTACCTTCTCTGCAGGACCCGTCGTCGCGTCTGTAGTGGTCCCGAGTGGCCTCGCTCATGAGTGCACACAGGATGGTATATATATATACATGTGCCTCATGCTGAGGCTGATGTTGCATTCATGATGCTTCTTTACCGCAGTTGGGCTAAAGCAACTAGGTCTTCTTTAGCTGGATAAATTTCATTCCACTTCATCTGGTTTGTTTTACCTACCTGAATAATCTGCTATTAACTGGCCACGTTGCTTACGCTAATTGTGGTTATCTTCGTTAACTTTATTGTGTTTGCAGCATTTTTGAGTAACTTCTGGACAGTTTGTACTTATCGCGGATTCTTTGCTAACCAACTTACTTCATATGCATATTTAGCAAAGAATTATGTCGGCATACCGGCATGCTTTAAAAGATATATTTTGTTTGAGAATGTCATTTCAAGTGATTGGATCTTGTTTGACATCTGGCTGCGCTTGATGTTCATGGTGACAAGGTGGTTACCTGTCTAGTACCCACTACCACATCCATACTGGTTCCAGGAGATAGTTAGTCGTTGCTGGAGGGGACGGGGTGCACAGTCGTTGTGGTCGTGCTAGGGTCGAAGAGTGGTTCCATGCACTCAGTAGGGTGCGGACTATGGTCCAGCCACCACCTTGTGTGCGCTTGATTCCAAAATACAACGTGCTTATGTTTGCCTGTGAAGGAGTGTGGGCCGGCTGCGTTTATGAGACGTGGCTCACATCCACATGCCACCCGGTCTTATTCATTCGGGTTCACACCGTATATATATATATATATATATATATATATATATATATATATATATATTCATACCATCCTGTGTGCACTCACGTACACGTTTTAGACAGATTGCAGGTCTACGGCAAGCTTGCTTCGTCCCTCACTGTCAACAGCGGTATACAAGGATGCCCTATATCCATGTTCATCAATCTTGAGATAGAAGATCTCCTGTCGAGAGCTGTGAAGAGTTACCAAATTCTTGACTGCAATTACTACCATGCAAACGAGGAATGACATCAAGCCACTTGGTGATGACACGCAGAGTAGGCAAACCATTCTAAAGCGTTTGAGGCAGAAACGTAAGGAATGTGCTTAGCCGCGTCGAGATGCAAAGTGCAGCTCCAAAGCTGGACCCTGCCCGTTCCCACGCTCTCTTAAAGGTGCACAGATAAGAGCACACGGTGGTCAGCCATCCACTTGGCGACAGTGTACGAAATCGCTGACCTCACCTCTTACGCCTGCCCACTTGGGGACCAAAGGACGAGGAGTCCCGATGGCCAGGAACATTTCAGGATAAGGCACGCAGCCAAAACCAGTGGAAGATTTGTGTACGTAATTGTATGGATCCAAATAATCAACAAGTAAAAAACCCGAGAATGTGATGTGAGAAGAAGCACAAGTGTTCCGTTTTCTAGGTGACATTCGTCACTGTCATCTGTTGATATCCATGATTTTCGAGGACACCATATCTATCCATTTTACTGATGTTAATATATCGAAGTTGCGAACACATGCCACGGTCAGATATTGGCCAAACTGACCTCATATTCTGTTCATGGTGTACGCGTCGCGATTCTTGAGTCATCATAATGACGCAATGACGAAACAGGAGCAACAATCAAGATTAAATAGAGACAATCGAATCACTTGCGGATTTTGACACGACCGGAACCGATCAAGTGAAGGTTAACTAAAAGGTTCCATATTTCATGGGACATGGTTCAGAGTAAATGGGTGGAACAGAGAGTACTAATCGACTGGAGTGAACATGTCCCTGAAATCCAGGGGCACAGATATAGTCAGTCGGTGGTTCGCGTGTCGCTACTAGGGAAATTACCACAGAAGAATAAGATGATGCACACAGCCCCGTCCAGAGTGAAAACCTGTCGTTCATTTTCCCATCCAGGTTGGACATTTTGCAAAACGGTAACGGACGAGGATGGAGAGTAACAAGTTTAGCACTATAAACATCAAACTAGTGCTCTTGTGGTTATCAAAAGTGATATCCCCGAGGATTGTCACCATGATGGATCCGATCTCCCAGTAGGCTTAAAGGGCATATGGCTTTTAGTCCCAATTGAACAAATGAGTTAACAGTGAAAAATACCATAACACAGCGTAAAAAGTCACCAGCATTACGTCGGCATGTTGTACCGATGTTTCGTTGCCACGCGACCACCAACACTAATCGCGTGGGGGCTGGTTATCTCATGAGTTCGTCCGTACATACGCGGATTCGAGCCTGGGAATTCCAGATAACAATACAGGCGGGTAATCCTTTTGACTAGCAGCCGAAAGACAACCCAAAAGTGACAAAAGTATCAAAGAACTTGGAGCAAAAGGACAGAAACTAGCAATGGACGTGAGAAAAGTTCAAAGCTCAGATTCCGTTGAATTAACCACAATTCGATGTGTGACACCGGAAAACGTAGTGGAGGAGTCTAAATAATGAGTAAGATGGCACTCTTAACATGAACTGGTGATCCCATGAGGTAACTGACTACGTCACTGACGTAGTAGTAGTAGTATGGGCAGCAGTCAATTAAATAGACAGATGCAAGCAAAACAAATGATTGGAAAACACCGTATCATTATCATAGCACATTAACTGAAGGTGAGCAACACACTTCAGCTATTGTGCCGCAATATAAAACAACGGAGCATTTTTTGTTACTTTGCACACGCCACTTTTTGTCAATTTTAATCGTTAAACATCAAGCATTCAAATCTAAACAATTATGTATGCAGATCCTCCACTGGCTTCGATTACGAGAAATATCCTGAATTGTTTTCAGCCATCGGCACTTCTCGTCCTTTGGTGTCCAACCACGCAGACAAGTGGATCCAACGGCAGCAGGACGTGAAGTCAACGGGTTCATATTATGTCGCCAAGTGAATGGTGGACCCCTGCGTGGTCGCTTCCAGTTGATTCATGCAAGTGCGAAAAGGGTGCAATAAGGCAAACGTTCAGCTGACATACGCAGGACGTGACCGAGCCATCTTAACTGGCGCAGCAAAACCAGCTAGTTGAAGGGAATACTCGCATTCCCCAAGACACGACGTCTGACTTCATTGTTGCAAACAAACATGAGCAATCATCCTCAAGCGCCAGTTGTCGAAGATCAGGAGTCCGCGCATCTCGTCTACGCGAACTGGCCATGACTCACTTCCATATAACAACAACGCTCGAACGGTGGCATTGTAAACACGACCCTTTACCAAGGGGACATTCCGACGACGCCATAAGTAATACAGGTTGAAAAACACCGACTGAGCCTTGGCGATGCGAAGAGAAACTTCCTCTCCAATGGTACCACCAGCATACACACAGC